GGGGGGCTCATTTTTTAGGCAGCTAAGGGCCTAGGGTTTGGTTCTATTCGGCTCCTACCCTAGAACCCCTTTAGAAAGGGAACCCCTGGGCTCCTAAAACGGGACACTCTCTTCGAACTTCCGCCCTCAGCCCCCAGCTTCGTGCCATCCTGACCGAACTTGGTGATGTCAATCCTGGAAGGGTTTAGGGTTTACGGTTTAGGGTGACGTTCTGCTTTTGGGGCTTAGGGTGTTGGGGGTTTGGGGGCTTGGGGGGTCTCGGGTGAAAGAAGCTTTGTGCAGCTCTTGGGATTTAGGGTCCTGAGGCTTTAGGGTTGAGGCTTGCGGGTGCCTTTTCAGAGGTCTAGGCCCTCAAGTCCTAAATCCGGGAGAAGTGGCGACTCTGGGGGTTTCGGCTTCAAATCTGGGAGATGGTGGGCGTTTGCAGGGGTTTGCGCCTCGGGAGTTCGAGGCTTTTGGGCAAAGGCCTAAAACCTGAAAAGCTCAACTTTGAAACCCCCCTTAACCCCAAGTGGCGAAGACTTTCGGGGTGAGAGTTTACGTGGCAGCTCACGGCCGTCCAGAAGTAGGGCTAAGTAGGAGCTTGAGCCATGCAGTTCGAGCTCTGGCCCCAATGAAGCACTTCAATTTCTCGTAGCTCCGTTCAGCACAGACACTGAACGTTCAAGCCTCACGGTTCCGGATTTAATCCCCAAAGATCTCAATCCCAAAATCCCTGCCCTCATGGCTCTTCGGCCCCCTCATCCCGTGGAGGATATGCTTTCCAGTCTCTTTTGGGGCTTTGGGGTCGAGACAATGACAAGCAGAGTACAACTCCCACACGTTTCCGGAGTCTCTCCCTCAGCTCACCTCAGCTTAGCCCCGAAGCTTCCACAAGAAAAGCCTAAGCACTCCGTCAACCCAATGAAAACTGAAGCCTGAACCCCAAAAAACTTTCCCCTGCACATTGCGGTCCCGCAAGATTTCAAGTACTCCTTCAGAGCCTGGCACGTCAATGAACGGCTTCAGGATTCGATCAGGGTCCCGTTTAGGGTTTGGGGGTTTATGGCTCAGGATTTAGGGTTTAGGGTTCAGGGTTTGGGGGTTTAGGGTTTTAGGATTTAGGGTTTAGGGTTTAGGGTTTGGGGGTTTATGGTTTAGGATTTAGGGTTTGGGGCTTCCACACGTAATTGGAGTTTAGGCCTTTAGGAGGCAGCGGCCTCAGGGATAAAGGTCCAGGATTTCGGGCGTAAGGACGAAGAGCGAGGAAGTGTCTGCTTGGTTCAAGGGACAAGGGTTTCAAAACTAGAGATACAGTGTTTAGGGCTCTGAAAGTTCAGGAGTCCAGCTTTCAGGATCTGGATTGGGATACCTCTTCTGCTCTAAAGCTCCCACATGCAGCTCAATACATTGGGAAACTCACTGATGCTGAGCGTTTCAACAACACTTTTTCACCGAGCACCGTATCGAACCGCGCCTTTCCGAACGGAACCCGCAGGAACCCGCACCACGCACCGAACCGCAGCCCTCCCCCCAACAGCTCCTCTCAGTAGCGAACAGAGCCTCGGAGGCACGGAGAGAAATACAATCAACAACAAATGTGATACTCAGACTTCGCCTGCAGTTACAGCCCCAACAAGTGCTCCTCCGGAGTTCCAAGGGACCCACCACGAGAAGAAGGCCACTCAAGCACAAAACCTTCAACCCGAAGCCCCCCCAGCTGCTGAATTCTGAACCTATAAACTTCGAAAGCCTAGATCCTGCAGACCCAACGCTATACCCTCAAGGGTTTAGGGTTTACGGTTTGGAGTTTAGGGTTTAGGGTTACACTCCTAGACACTACTTCAAGGATGAAGGCACTTAGTCAGTATTCATCATTAGAGTTGCGGTACTTATAACCCCGACTTACTACGTCTCTGATCCTCTGAGTGCCCCCACCGGACAACGACTCGTACTTGGAGGGTCGGGGGACTTAGTAAGTGCCTATTTTAATCAAAAACACAATTAGGGTCTCTTTCGGGGTACTTATAAGCCTACTACTTATTACCTACTTACTAAGTCCCCCGACCCTCCATGTACAACGGAAGCCTCCTCGTCCAGGCCAATGGGTGCCCGTACGAGCGTGGAGATCTGGACGCTTGCAGGGTTTCTTTGACTCTTCCTTTAAAAGGTACTATGGAGTTCTATATTAGGGTCCCTGTCAACGGGCAGTATGGGGTTCTATGATGGGGTCCCCTTCAAGAGTTCCTCCCAAGGTTTAAGGGGTTCTGTAAGGGTTAACCGGTCTAGCCCCCAATACTCATGCTAGTCCTCCTCTATAATTTGTGTACCATAACTCTTTGGGTGTTCCGGATGTACAAACCCGAAACTCTAAAGCCGGGGCTTGCGGATCTCTGGCCTTTCGGATGTTCGGATTTGAGATGCTGTGGGGTTAAGTTTAGGGCCTCAGGATAGTATAGGGCTTAAGGCTTAATATAGCGGCCTTAATAATTAGAATAGGGCTTTGGGGCCCGCCATACTATAACTACTTTAAGGCTTAATATAGGGGCCTTAATAGTTAGAATAGGGTTTTGGGACCCATTATGCTAAAACTATAAAACCCCTCAAAATAGTGTAGGTAATTATGTAGCCCTTAAGCCGCAACCTTCCGGGCCCCTCGTGGCCACCGTGAATACTTACAAGCAAGGCAGCTGCAGCCTAAGAAGTAAACTTGCTGACCGCAACTGCAACTCTTATACATGGCCAGGTAACTCCTGAACCCTAGCCCGGCAATTTTATATATATATATATATATATGACCGATCATTAGAGTCTTGAGTATATGATATGATATTATTATACACGCTTGTTCGAAGGATTCCTGAGGCCCTGGCGTGAGAGCCATGCACAGAAAGCTTGACCTTCCGATTCCAGAGCCGTGCAATCTCAAGGGTGGTTGCCGTTCGGGTTGAAGGCAACAGAGAGCTTCACGATTCAGGGATCAGGGTTTAGGTAAGCCTGAACCCTGGAGTTTAGGATTCAGGGTCTTGGGATGTCTTTGGCTTAGTGTCGGATGAGGAGGCTTGCAGGATTTCGGTTCGGTTTTGGGCTGGGGGTTTAGGGCCTCCGACCTTCGAACCTTGGGACTTGCTGCTTGGACGCTCTTGCGTTGAGGCTCACACGTAAGATCCTGGAGGAGTGGACTTTTGACCTTTTGTCTGCGTCTTTGAGTCTCTATGAACTGACCTGTCTTGCAGTGCAGCTCTGTCATCTTCATCGGATCCCTCATTTAGAGGGCCTGCCCAAACACCGTGCCTGCCGGTCTGGGGGTTAAGGGTTTAGGGTTTAGGGTGTAGATACCCGTCAACACCACCCACAAAACCTTGCAGAAACCCTGGGCCCTGGACCCAACAAAAGTATGAACCTGGCCTTCTGGGCTTCTGCCTGCGCTTCTGTGAGCCACTGGAAAAACTTCGTGTTGCCCTGGCCAGGCTTTTGGATGTCCGATGTAGGGTTTAGGATTTAGGGTTTAGGGTTTAGGGTTTAGGGTTTAGGGTATTCCTAAACCCTGAACATGCAAGGTTTAGGATTTAGGACTCGGTCTCAAGACATGGGCTCTCTGTTCCCCAACCTCAGCCCTACAGAAGCACACAGTCCCAAACGCCTGAGCCAACACAGCGGTGCCGTCTGTACTCCCACGCACATATAGATAGATTAAATAACATCAAAAGACCCCATCACATCCTCAAGCTTCTGCACTCAAGGTTTAATGGTTTGGTCCGAAGAGTTGGATTAACTTGTGAAGCACTGCAACTGCCTCGGGTTTGGGATTAGGTTTGGGGTTGCAGGGGTTGTACTTGGGCCTCGGGTAGCGGTAGGGGGCTCGCCACAAATGCCGCGATGCGAACTACAGCGGAGAGTGTTTGACGAATCAGAAACGATACAACTGGACTTTGGGGGCTTGGGGATCTGTCCTGCATTGGGGCCGCTGGCTCCAAGCGCCCCACGTCTTCTCTTCTTTTTGACTGCTTTCCCCGCTTAAGGTTTCTTCGGCAGCATTTCTGCTTAGCGCTCCTGAGCTTCTCGATTCCCAGTTCTAAGCCTACCGAAGGTCGTTCGTCATCCAAAGCCCTACAACCCCCAAACCCGAAGCCAGGAATCATCGAGGGCCTGTGGGTCCGTCGAGCTCCACTCCTGCATGGTTGGCAGGCCCACCTGGTATTCGGGCTTTGTCATTGAAAGTTTAGGCGCTTGGATTTCGGCCTGCTAAGTTCTATGTCAGGGTTACGGTGTCTAATAGTGGCGTTAGTAGTCGTCGTCGTCGCCGTAGTCGTAGTCGTAGTCGTAGTCGTAGTCGTAGTCGCAGTCGCAGTCGTAGTAGTAGTAGTAGTAGTAGTAGTAGTAGTAGTAGTAGTAGTGGTAGTGGTAGTGGTAGTGGT